GAAGCTGTCTATCGTCCACCTGATGCAGGTTTTGCTACCTTTTCTGATCTAATGGATTATATAGTCAAACAAAAATTAAATGGTTGCAAAACCTTATTCACTGGGGCTTTTCTATAGTCAATGAAGATGGCATCAAGCTGTCCTCTGGAATCAATTGTGGATGCAATATCGTGGGAGAATTCTAATAATTGTGTCACCGTCGAAAAGCCAGATGAGATAGAAAATACCCCCGCCATAGACTGGAAAACTTTATCAGCACATGACCAATACAAGCTTACCTGTGACTATTTGATTGATTTAAATATTCCTCTAGACCTGACGCAAATTGTTTCTTTTGACACCCACGAAAATGCAATTCCTGATCTTGTTTTCATTAACGAGCATGTTAAAGAATATGGCTATCAATGTGAGATTGTCGAAGGCCTGTCGGATCACAAGGGTGTCATAGTTGATTTTAACTTAACGACTGTACCTAACCTTCCTTTACACCAGACTGTTGTGAACTACGAGCATGCTGATGATAACTCCATAATCGGGATACTTGCATCCTCTTTTGATGAGTTTTTAAACAGCGCCAGCCATTACCATGTCGATGTACTAGTGAACCGCTTTAATGGAATTGTTGGCCGACGTATTGCTGCTAATTACATTTCAACAAAGTGTATAAAACGCAATCCTAAGCATCCTTGGCACACTAGCGACATTATTCATCTAATTCGCCGTATCAGGCGTCTTCGTAAACATTCCAAATCTGGCAATCCAATAAAATCATCTGTGTTACCTAAACTGAAAAGTAGTTTAAAATCTGCTATGTTAATTGCGAAAAGTTTCTATTTTAATAATACTTTGTCGTCGTTCATGAAAGACAAGCCGTCAAAGTTTCGGAAAGCCATCAATCCCTCAAGTGAGAGCTGTCCTTCCTCATTTATTATTTTCGATAAACCATGATCTGACAATCTCAGCATTTCTGAAGCATTTATCGACTATTTTAAATCAGTGTTCACACGTGATGATGGGCGTAGTCCCACATTTTTTTCTAACTCCTCTCCACAACCTTTCCCAAGCATGCTAATTACTACTGCGGGCGTTCGTACCTTGTACTCAAAATTGATACAACGAAAAGCACCAGGCCAGATGGTATACATAATATGTTTTCGAAACGTCATTCTGCATGGACTTCTTGGTATTTATCAGTCATTTTTTCAAAGTCTGTTGAGTCATCTACTGTCCCATTACTCTGGAAGTGCGCCAACGTCGTTCCCATACATAAGGATGGCAATAAACACGTGGAGTGCAACTATAGGCCAAGTTCAATAATATTAACGTCCTGTATATTACTGGAACACACCATCTATAAATATATCGTCGAGTAGTTGTCTGAACAGAATACTCTCTCACATGCTCAACATGGCTTTCGTGCTGGCTTTTCGACGGTGACACAATTATTAGAATTCTCCCACTGATATTGCATCCACAATTGATTCCAGAGGACAGCTTGATGCCATCTTCATTGACTATAGAAAAGCCTTTGACACAGTATGCCATAATAACCTTCTTATTAAAATCAAGGAACTAATTCAATGCACTAAACTTACAGACTGGATACAGGACTATCTGAGCTCAAGAACACAATTTCTTGCATTTATTCGTGCTCACTAATCTCTGGTCAGTGTCACATCCGGTTTACCACAAGAATCGGTACTGGGTCCATTACTCTTCATCATCTATATAAACGACGTCGTTAAAGTAACTGCTGGGACTTCTGTGAAATTGAGACTTTATGCCGATGACTGTGTCATATATTCTGATGTGACTAGCACTCAAGATCAGTTGCAGATAAATAAAGTTTTCGACAGTTTTTTCGAGTGGAGTAAGACATGGCAGATGCCATTGAAATTCAAAAAACAGTCTCAATGACTTTCTCAAATAAAAAGCGTCCGTTAAAGTTTTCATACTTTTGTTGTAACCACAAGCTCGAAAGTGTAGACACTTTCAAATACCTCGGTGTTACTTTCACCCCGGACTTGAAATAGCATGCCCACAGTCTGAATATATTAAATAGGGCGTTAAGAGAGCTGGGTTACCTAAAGAGAAACCTTCGAGATGCAACTAGGGAATGCAAACTAGTAGCATACAGATCTCTAACAAGGCCACTCCTAGAGTATGCGTCGGTCATATGGGTACCACATTATGCCCATGACATAAATATGCTTGATTATATTCAGAAAAAAAGCCGTCAGATTTATATGTCAGCGTTATGATCGGCATTTTTCACCTACAATATATGCTAATGAATTAAAGCTAAAACGTTTGGCTTTCCGACGCAGTGTTGACCGTCTTGTCCTGTTGCATAAGATCGCTCAGGGGGAAACATTTATTGATGCACCCATTACTTTCTCTAACCCTTCTTCTCGAATCCCAAGGAGAAGTCACCAGCTTAACATAGCTCCTTTGAAGTCATTCATTGATGGCTTCAAGTTTTCTTTATTCCTCACACTATAGATACTTGGAATGGTCTCCCGGGCTCCCTGCGCGAGCTGTCAAACGATGAATTCGTTAAAAAATTACCAAACTTTCTTCACTGATCAGCTGTGTATACTTTCCTGATGTTCTGCCCATTCAGTGTGTATACTGCAGTGTGTATACTCAATGTGTATACTTTATTTGTGTTATATTTATTGCGACTGAATGTGATTTAGTGTGACTTAATTTATTGTATTTTATCTTGTGTTGTACTCACTCCTTCAATATCTTGCTGTGCAAGATGCAGTCTTTGTTAATAAATAAATAAAATAAAGGTAGTGACCGACCATCATTTGTAGTGCTGGTTAGCCAACCTGCGGAACCCGTTTGGGTGACTGGCACGATGGAGTCCTCGTCTGCAGGAATACGATTTCACAATCGCTTACAAACCGGGCCGCAAGCACGAAGATGCTGAATCATTGTCCCGTGCACCTGTCGAAGTTTGTGGCTATGACACCTACGAAGACGGTGAAGTTTTCGGGGCCCTTACTACAACGGATCAGATTACACGACAGTGCGTGGATGACGAAATTTGCGAAGTTATCGAAAACCTTGAAGGGCGCAACTCTTTCATACCTCGATGTATTTCTCGAGGTCTGTCGTCATTCTGTCTGTGAGATGGGGTCGTGTATAAGAAAAACTCCAACAGCATTGAGAGAACCTATCTTCTAGTTGTGCCCACTGACAAGCGTGACGACATTCTTCTCGCCTGCCACGATGAGCCCACATATGGTCACTTAGGTTCCTCCCGAATTCTCGCTCGAGTTCGACAAGCGTAATACTAGCCTGAGCTTTCCGCATTCGTAAATCGAGACGTTAAAAGCAGCCGGGAATGTCAACGCCGCGAATTCCTGCCACTGAAGCCCGCGGGGCTTCTTGAACCCATAGAACCACCAAGAGCGTCATTTGATCAAATAGGAATGAATTTACTGGGGCCTTTTCTGCTATCATCAGCCGGCAATAAGTGGATCGTAGTAGCCACCGACTATTTGACGAAGTATGCCAAAACAAAACGCTACAACGCGCTACAGCTTCCGACGTAGCCCAATTTTTAATGGACCAGATCGTTCTTCGACAAGGCGCCCCGTCGTGAGTAATCACTGACAGAAGAGCAGCATTCACGGTTCAGCTCATTCATGACGTATTCAAGCTCAGCTACACGAGTTATCGCAAGACCATGGCATATCATGCGCAGAGCAACGGCTTGACAGAGCGACTCAACAAGACCATCGCTGGCATGTTAACCATGTATGTAGACGTACAGCATAAGACCTAGGAACAGGTGCTACCGTAAGTCACATTCGCGTACAATACTGCCGTCGAGGAAACTACGCGATTCACGCTGTTAATCTTGTATACGGACGTGAGTTCCAGAACATGCTGAATACAATGCTTCCACACGATTGTGACGCTTTGATCACTCCTGACGCTGTACAGCTTACCCAATACGCGGAAGAAACACGCCAGTTAGCACGCGTACACGTTCCACAACAGAAGGATACAGACGCATGCTGCTACAGCGCTAACCATTGACAAATTGAATGCCATCCAAACGATCAAGTTTGGGTGTGGACTGCCGTCCGATGCCATGGATTGTCAGAAAAACTGGTCAGTCGCTACTTCGGACCGTACAAATTGTTGCGACGCGCGAGCGATGTGAACTGCGAGGTAGTCCCTGACGGCGCCTTCTCGCCACGGCGGCGAAGGCTGTCCTCGGAAATGGTGAACGTTGTGCGACTGAAGCCGTACTTCACGCGGTAGTGTGACTGCGCATGAACTTTACTGCTTTTTTTTGTATGCATGTGTTTTCTGTTGGTTTGAGCCGACTTTGCCTTTGTACTTTACGAGCAGCAGAGAGATGCCCATTTTTTTTCCAGATGGTGAACAATGCCACTTGGCCGCTAGGTACGGCGAGCGCATGCCATGTTTGCCCGATAGTATGGAAGACGATGTTCTGAGCAGCGCGCGCTCTGGTTAGTTGTTTTTTTTTTTTTTTTTTTTTTTTATTCAAGTACCCTAAAGGCCTGGGTAGGCATTACATAGGGGAGTTGTAGCACAATAAAGCTGTTACAATTACAGTGTATAATTTGAATAACAAATACAAACGATTGATATAAATATGCACATACATATGTAGAGATATTATTACTTAACAGTACAGAGATGCTACGTGGAAAAATAAAGAAAGTACAAAAAAAAAAAAAACAACAAAACTCTAAGGAAAATTTTCGCAGTGTTCAAAACAACAAAAGGATGCAAAGAAAGGATAATTCACGTTCATTGAAATACCGCGTACAAGAACAACGACAACAATTACAACAAAACAGATATGCACAGGAACAATATTAACTTTCATTAAAATGACTTTTAAGTTTATTCATGAAATCTTCATGATTTTGGGAAGAAACGACGTCGGCAGGTAGCTTGTTCCAGTGATATATTGCGAGAAAGAGGGGGGATTTTCTTAAGAAGTTTGTTCGAGCAAAAACGGGTTGTACTTTAAAGGGGTGATCCAGGCGCGGAAAGATACGATGGGCGGCCGTGATGTGGCGTACGCAGAACGATGATGATGAGTGATAAAGTTTGTGGAAATGAGATAGAAGTGCTATGATTCTTCTATTCTCTAGGGTGCTTAGATTCAGAGATTTTTTTAGGTTAGTTATGCTTGATGTTCGTGAATAATCTTTGGTAATGAAGCGGGTTGCTTTATTTTGAATTGCTTCGAGTTTGTTGATGAGATAAGACTGGTGCGGGTTCCAAATAAAAGATGCATATTCTAGTTTTGCGCGAACCAACGTCGCATAGGCCAATAATTTAGTAGACTTGTTTGCCAAATAAAGGTTACGCCTGATAAAACCAAGAGTTTTGCATGCACTGCTACAGATTGCTTCGATGTGGTCACTCCATGAAATGTTAGAAGATAAATGAACTCCCAAGTATTTTATTGTATGCGCACGCGCGATGACTGAGTCATTTATCAAATAATGAGTAAGCTTAGGATTAGACACTCTAGTGAAGGCTACAGCCTTAGTTTTCGAAGTATTTATCTCCATTTGCCACTGTTCACACCAATCTGCAATTTTCGCAAGGTCAGATTGCAAAGCGTCACTATCAGAGGTGGTAGTTATTCGTCTATAAATTACGCAGTCATCTGCGAATAATCGAACTGTAGATGAAATGCTATTGCTGATGTCATTTACATACAACAGGAATAAAATAGGCCCCAATACAGAGCCCTGAGGCACCCCTGACTTGACCAGTGATCGTGAGGAAGAAAATTTATTGGCAGTTACAAATTGGTACCTGTCGGTTAAGAAATTCCTTATCCAATTCACAACCTGACTATGTATATTAAAATAGCGAAGTTTTTGTAATAAACGGTTATGAGCAACCTTATCGAACGCCTTGGCGAAGTCGATAAATATGGCATCTATTTGCGATGAGTCATTAACAGCTTCGTAAATGTCAGAGACCAGCTCGAATAACTGCGTCTCGCAGGAGCGACCCTGTTGAAAGCCGTGCTGGTTGCTGAAAAGATGGTTGTGCTTTGTTAGGTACTTCATGATTGCCGATGATATGATATGCTCTAATAATTTACATGGTATACTGGTCAGCGAGATTGGTCTGTAGTTGGTGACAGATGACGGGTCTCCGGATTTAAAAATTGGCACTATTTTAGAAACTTTCCATCCGTCAGGAACGCATCCTGACTGAATCGATTGCTGGAAAAGGCATGCAAAAATGGGAGAAATAACAGGTTTAGTTAACTTTAGCAGTTTAGGACAAATACCATCTGGACCAGGAGCAGAGCTGCTAGAAAGACGATCAATAGCAGCTTCGATTCCCTTTTCAGTGATCACGATGTCCTCCATGATGGAGGTAACGGAGCCGAGGTGAATATTGTCGGTAATAGGAAGCTCACGAGAAAAAACAGAACAAAAGAAGGAATTGAACGCAGTAGCGACTTCAGAGGGCGGGAGGAACTCGTTGCCTTGCATTATCGATATGAAACATGAAGACGACGGCTTGGGGTTTATTACTTTCCAGAATTTTTTTGTGTTGACAGTTAACATGTTGGAGATGTCATGGTTGAAAAATTTGTCTTTTGCTGCCTCAATTTCGGTTTTGCATAACTGCGACTGTTCGCGATAAGCCTTCCAGGCATCGTCAGATTGCAAGGTTTTAGCTCTTGAATAAAAGCGCTTCTTCTTGTTAATGCATCGCTTCACGTGGGAGGTAAACCAAGCGCTCCCTGTAGACACAGATATGTGTATTTTTGGAATGTATTTTTCTTTGAGTTCGATTAGCTTGTGACAGACGATCATCCAGTTCTCATTGCTGTCACGATGCTGCATGCCGTTGAAAAATTCTACGCAAAAGGACGAGAGTTCGCTATAGATCATTTCAACATCTGCACGTGCGTAATCATAAATTGTTTTCTTTTCATTCACGCTTTCTTTACGCGTTAACTCGAATTCACAATGGATGACATTATGGTCACTGATGCAGTCTAACACATTAACAGACATGTTTGACGGTTCGGTGGTAAGCACAAGATCCAAGATAGCATCCCCCCGTGTTGGCATAGAAACTATTTGGCTTAAACCGTAAGACGAAATCACGTCAAGAAAGTCCTTACATTCAGCTATCCTTGCGCCGCTATCGGCTGTGCCCGTCCGCCAGTTTATTCCAGGATAGTTAAAGTCGCCCGCGAGAATCACAGGAGAGCCAGGAAATCTGTCATATACGAGGCTCAATGATTCGTTTAGGCAATTAACGAAGGTTTCTTTTGAGTCAGGCGGACGGTAACAAACCCCAACGGCACAAGTTACACATGAAAGCTGGACCAATACCCACAAAATTTCAATACAGGAACCCGTATCAAGCAGACGCGCTTGAAGTTCTTTTTTTACTGCAATCATAACACCACCTCCTCGTGTTTCCGTTCTGTCCTTTCGAAACAGGATAAAGTTTTTAGTAAAAGACAATTCATGGTTACACACGTCACTTGTCAGCCATGTTTCAGTTCCCACTATGATGTCTGCCGAGCAGGATTCGACAAACGCACAAAGGTGATCTTGTTTTCGAAAAATACTTCTAAAATTAGCTATAATAATAGATAGCTTTTTAACTTCGGTTTCAATGGGGCGTCATTCATAAATCGCGGGAGCGTCTTGTCTCGGGATGGGGACCACTTTATTGCTCGAGGAATCGACGGTGAAAATTACGTTGCCCATTATAAGCTTGTCAAACTGCAACTTATACTTCTCATTTTTCTGTCGCTTCGCACGCGCGAAATCACGAAGCGTTTTTCTAATTAGCTGCACACGAGGTGAAAAATCCTCCTCGATCCACACTCGCGGGGTTGCCAGGTCTTTCAGCTTGAACGCATTTTTCAGAATATTGCTTTTGTCCTTGAAGTTTAGGAATTTGACAACAACAGGTCGAGTGCGATCGGGTTTGCGTTGCCCGACCCGATGGGCTCGCTCAATTTCACCTGGTTGAATTCCCAAGTTTTCCGTGACGAATTCATGAATGAGTTTTTCTGTATCGCTCCATTTTTCAGCGGCTTGCTCAGGAACACCCTTGAACACGAGATTATTGCGCCTCATTCGATTGTTCAGGTCATCTACAACAAGGTTGGCTTGATGGGTCTGTTTTTGCTCAATGGTTTTCAACTGTTCCTGAGACTCTTGCACAACAGAGCCGACAGCCTTGACTCTTTCACTTAAGTTGTCAACGCTCTCAAGACGCTCCTCTATTTTGGAGAGCCGCCTTTTGAGGTCTGTTACAGTAGTGTGAATGTCTTTTAGCTTGTTCGTCACTTCCTTTTGAAAACGTTCATTTGAAGCAGTGAATTCCTTTACCAGTGCCACCACTTGGTCAACCTTGTCAGGACCTGGATTACGCTCAACGTCGCCCGCACAAATGAGCAAATGAGCAAGCGAAAAAAACGTATGGATGCTGATTACGAAATGTTGATTATTGAAGCAGCCATCTTGCCAGTTTTCCGTGCGTCTCCTCGCTGGCTCAGTTTTTTCGAGTTGAATACGTTTTGTAGCACATGACAGTATTGTTTGTTGTATGAAATTTCAGCTAGAAGCCCGTGCTTGTCCTCGTGTCACTGGTGTTGCTTTATCTGCTGTTGTGCTGACTATTTTCAAATCTCTGGAGAGATGCATTGTATGCATGTTGAAATTAACACAGCGAAAAAACGAGAACACAAGAACTAATACACACCATTGCGCTGTCTCGCAACTAACCTTATAAGAAAGCACATCAATAGAATAAACCAAAGGTGTCAAACTCCCTGACCTGGTGGACAACAATCACAAAGTTTAGTCCTGCAAAGGATATCACAGTGCATCAATTTGAACTGGAAGAGCTGGTTGTAAACGTGATAAAATGTAATTTGAAAGGCCTTTTCACCGCATCTTATATCTAGGAGATTTCTGAGAGAGATTTGTCAACGAAATGCGAGAAAGATGACGACACTGACTTTCAGAATGGCTAAAATATGGATGCTGATTACGAAATAAAAACATTTACTCCTTTGTTATGTTCTGGCTGCACGGTGTGCTTGTGGAACAAAAGCTTGAGACAGGTTACATCTGCGTGATTCAACTGAACAAAGCGTTATCAAGGGCAAGAGGCAATAAGAAGTGCGAGTGCCATTTAGCAAAGTGACACAACTTTCCTCCTTGTAAAGTACGAAACGGCCACTTTAGTTCTGAACATTCTCGCTTGATGCCTTGCAAAATATAGCGGTGACAAAAAAAATATCTGTATTAATTCTTCTGCAGAGACGATTTTCATGGTCGATCACAGGGCCTGGTCAGTCAACCTCAACTAGAAAACACACTTTTTATTTAGGGTGAAAGTATCTGCTTCAGAGTGTTTTGTGTGGGCTTCGTCACTCAAGAAAGAGGTTGTTGTTGGGATAGTTGGTACAACATTTCTAAAGGTTAACTCGAACGCGAACACACGACACGATCACTGACACACGCACACACCCAGGCATCAAACACACACAGTTATCACTTCCAACTGATTTATTCATGGCTCGAAGGCTTGAATACATACAGGACACATGTGCGCACTAACACCATAGAAGGCCGACAGCATACATTATCAATACGTTCTGTTAATAAATGTCATTGCCTCCGAGCGATAAACTGGAATTCGCTTGGTAACAACGATAGCGATTGGACACTTTCACAGAGATCTTTATTTTTTTTCAATGAAAAAGGCCTCCAACTCTTCACGTGCAGTGTTATGGGCGCCTCTGCCTAGAATATGCGTCTCAGAAAATCGTGCGGCACCACAACACAAGATGACATGCGCAACCAGGTACGCATACCTGTCATCTTGTTTTGGTAATTTTTGGGCGTGCTCGTTTAATCGGTCATTAATACACCGTTCGGTTTTGCCAATGTTCACTTTTCCGCAGGATAAGGATATGAAGTACACGACCCCCGTGGAAAACTTAGCAAAGGCCCTCTCAAGTTTCTTCTCGCAGCCGTGCTTCTTCTTCTCGCACAGACGTTGGCACAGCATTCCAATTTTTTCGGTTGCGAAAACACCATCGATACGCCCCTCTTCACAATCTCTGAGTGGGCAGAATCATACGGCAACAACTCCTTCTCAACACGAGGATGATGCCCACTCAGACATTGTGAAGAGAGCGTTGCGTCTCTTTGCTTAGAATCAGCGCTAAAGAGCTCGTGGCCACCCAGCATGAAACTTAGTTCCCCAATTTGGTGAGCCAATTAGTGGCTGCTGGCTTCTCTCGATCGGTCAATCCGGCCGTTCCTGAATCACTTCTGCAGAAGTTTAAACGCGGAACACAGAAAGCGATGACTGCTACCCAGCCCTTAAAGATCAGGCCACAAGTTGTGCCATATGTATAAGTTATTGCAAAACCTAAAGAAAGTCGTGGCCAGGTATAGCGTACCAATGGTGTTTTCCGCACCCGAAAAAATCGGATGACTGTGCCAACGTGTGTGCAACAGGAAGAAGCGTGGCTTCGAGAAGAAACATGAGAAGGCCTTTTTTAAGTATTCCACGGGGGTCGCATATTCCATACCCTTATCCTGCGGAAAAGTGAACATTGGCCAAGCCGAACGGTGTAATAATGACCAAATAGGGGACACGCCCAAAAATTAACAAAACAAGATGATAAGTATGCGCACCTGGTTGCGCATGTCATCTCGTGTGGGTGTGACGCATGATTTTCTGAGACGAAGATTCTAAGCAAAACCGCAAGTAAAACTGCACGTGAAGTGTTGGAGGCCTTTATCATTGAAAAAAAAAATAAAGATCACTGTGTAAGCGCCCCTTCACTATTGTTGTTACCAAGCGAATTCCAGTTTATTGCTCTGAGGCAATG